TGATTCCACTTTTAGTCCCCAGGCTGGTCCTGAATAGGCTGGTCATGACCCAAAATGAACCAATGAGACTTTTGCTTCACTGGGTGTTCTCTCTTTCCCTGAAGTCACTGTGCTGATCTGTGGGATGCAGCCTGGTGCTGTGGCTGCCACCAGACTGGACACCACCTGGCCTGGGCACAAAGAAAACCAAGAAGTGAAGAAAGCCAAGTCCTCATTGACAGTGTGGCCCTAGATCCAGCCACACCTGAAGCCAATCTCCTTAGACTTCTCAGTTACATTCAGCTAATCAATGCTCTGTTTTAATAATCCATCTTGACTGGGCTTCTGGCATTTGTACCTAAAAGAGTTCTGATGAAAACAAGATCTCGTGGCCAGCAAGTGGAAGAAGTTGGATCAAAGCTCAGCCCTGTTTAATCTGAAGGCCCAGGATCTTCACCACTCTATTGACTGGCATCATCTCCTCCTTTAATCTTAATGCCAAGTCCTAGCAGCACCCATGCCCATCAATAATCCTAAGAGCTGACATCTGCTTGGTGTTCGACAGCCTAGAAACTGCTCTGGCACTCACCATCCCTTTTTAAAAACCCTGAGATATACTTCACATACCATAAAAGTCACCTTTTAAAGTGTACAATGCAGTGGTTTTCAGTATATTCATAAGGTTATGCCTCTGTGACCACTAAATAATTCTAGAACATCTTCATCAGCCCTGAAAGGTACCTAGTACCCATTACCAGTATCTCCCTATTTTCCCCTAGCCTCTGGAAACCAGGAACCTGCTTTCTGTCTATGCATTTGCCTCTTCTGGACACAGATGATCAATTTTAACTCACGAGAACCTTGTGAAGTAGCCACTACAGAGAGGAGCCCCAGACAGCAGAGAGGCTAAAAGTGTGGATACTGGGGTCGATTGCCCAGTTTCCAATTTGAACTCTGAGGCTCACTAGCTACGTGACTTCAGGCAAGTGACTTAACCTCTCTGAGCCTGGGTTTCTTCATTTGTATAACTGAATAAGCTTGTCTGGAGGACTGAATGAGTCACTACCTCTAGATGTTTAGTAGGATGGGGCCCACATTCAGTGCTCCAGAAATGCCAGCTGTTTCTATTGTTATCACTCCATGTCACCAATGAGGGCTCTCAGGCACAGAGGGGTTAATGGGTGTTCCCAAGACCACACAGCTGGGGGGTGGCTGGGCCCCAGGTCTCCTGACTGAGTCCTCTGCTTTTTCCATTACCCTGCACTGGCCTTGCTGCTCCTCCACCAAGGCTTGGCTCTCCCCACGCTGTTTGGGCCAAGTTACTTCTGAAAAAACTAAGGCTGCTTGCCAGACAGGAGGGAGGGGAGGGTGGAATCATGAAATCATCTAACTCTAGGGTGTTGCAGGCCCGCGAGGGCTGGTGTGATCCTGTGCTAACCTCTTCCAGTTTTCCCCGCTGTGGTGTGTGGGGGAGGAGGAGGCCAGTTCCAGGATGCTTCCAGGATGAGCAGGACCCTCTGGAATTCCATGACTTTCCCACTCCAGTCCCCCATCTGTGACTCTGGATGTAGCCCGGCCTTAGACAACTTTGTTACAGGAGGAAAGGCTGATGCGGTAACTCCCCAGTTATTACCCATTATGCTAAGCATGGAGGAGAGCCTTAAAGTTCTGGTAGAAATAAGAAAGTTGAGTCAGAACAGGAGAGTGGAAGGAGCATTGGCTTTGAGCCAGGAAGACCCGTGATCAAACCCTGGCTCAAGTATTCCCAAAGGGTATCAGCTTGGGCAAGTCACACCAGTGCAGAGGACAGCTGATAACATGCTTGCTGAGCCAGGCACGTCCTGCTTAACTGGCACAAAAATGCAGGAGAAAGGCACTTTCATTTCTACTATGCAGTTGAGGAGGCTGAGGCTCAGAAATATACAGAGGTGGCCCCAAGCTGAGCCCTAAACAGGCAAAACTGAGATTTGCAACCAGGTCTGTTTGACTGAAAGCCAAGGTCTTAAGCCTTAGGCTATGCTGGAATAGGGAACTCAGAGAACCCAGTCTAACTTGCACGGAGCCTGGTCCACAGGCCTCGACATGTCAGCAATGAACAACATTTACATAAGCAGTTCTAGGGCCCCCTTCCCACTCCACTTCTCATCAGATCTTTTCCAGATGACTCCACGTCCCTACCTCCCCGGCAACAGCTGACAGGCTTGGCAGTGAACTATGATCCAGGAACCCTGGGACAGTCAGATTCTCGCTGCTGGAGACTGGAATCAGCATCCAGAAACGCTAGTGCTTTGACAACAGGGAAGATCACTGCAACTTCGGATGGAAGGTGCTCACTGGCGGATGCTCCTGGGGAATGTGGGCAAGTGGGCAACTGGAGGAAGTAGTCCAGAACAGGCTTGACGGGAGATCCTGAGGCCACAAGGACAGATGGCCCAGAAACTGCCAGCTGGTTCCTGGCCCTTGCAAGCCTGGCTGCATTTTCTGCTCTGAGTTTCAGGGAACACACCTGCCTCTTCCCATATATCCAACCCCACCCCTCTCTTTGTGCCTAAGCTAGCTTAGTGGGCTTTGCTCTGTGGATGTAAATAATTCCTAGGATAACAATCATGTGTTATTGTTTCCTACCTTCTCTTCTGCTCCTTGGAGGTGTCAGGCAGGCAAGAGGCCTGAAAGCGAAATACAGGTAGCCCTCCCTATCTGGACCCTCACTGCATGAAAAGTCAGTCCAGCAACTTGCAAAAATGTTTACCCAACACTCACTCTTTGAAGATCTACTATAATGAATCTGCATAAATCATTTTTATCTCATTCATTCTCAGCCAGGACTGCCCATGGTATCACCATGGTGACCCTTCCTTCCTCTCCCCCAGGCTTAGATCTTTCTTCCCCTGCCCCCAGGTTCCCTCCTGTCAAGTTCACTTTGGTCGGTATCTTGGCATCTTTAACATATAGCTGCTTTGTTTATTTACGTTGTTTGCTGCAGAGCAGAAGCAAAAATATAATTTGTTTACAATTCTGTTTGATATTATTGCATACTGAACACAAAACATCACTGATGAGTTCACTACATTTTAAATAATTAGGTAACTCGTGTCTCACTTGCTTTATATTATGCAATGAGTCTTGGCAGTTTGTTATGTAGGCGTTTTGGGAAACCAGTTAGGAACATATTATTTCCCCTCTACCTACAAAATAATGAAACACAAGCTCTGAAAATTCTCTATTCCACACTGTCAGGAGCAGATTAGGTCAGAATAATGAAGGATGCCAACCTTCTGAGAGAAGCTGTGAGGCGAAAAGACAGGATGATGTACAAAGGACAGAGGCGGTCTTCTGACGGCCCAGAAATGTCGACTTCACCTCTGATCACAGCAGTTTGTGAAACTACATCTCTCTGGGTCTCGGTCTCCACCCTCACTGACTTCTAGGGTGGAGCAGGGACTGCGGCAAGCCATTGGCTGGCACATTTCTCACTCATGTTGATTGGCATTGAGTTGAGCCTATGACACACAATAATGTGTTTGCTGGGACTTCTGACAAGTGACTTTGACCCTTTCCTGCTGGGTGTGAGCCCAGAGCTATTGTATCATTGTGCAATCATGTGGGATTCGAGGATAAAGCCGACACCATGGAAGTAGGAATTGGAATAAGAGGAAGAAGCCAGATCAGGTGACACCACAAAAACCTTGGATTAAGATGTGCCCGAAGCCTGGGAGACTTATTCTCCCAGGATGTTCAGTTCCACCTGCCAAAAAACCTCCTGTTTGCTTCAACTGGCTTGAGTTGGGTTTCTGTCACTTGTAACAGAATCATTCTGACTGAAAAGAAGCTTGTCATCTCAGGATGGAGACGTGTGTTGGCCTGAGAGGTGACACGGCCCCTTACCAGGAGGCTGGGAGGAGACACCTGTTCAGAAAGCCAGGCAAGTTCCCAATGCCTCCGGAGGGTTTTCTAAAGAACTCCATCATACGCTCCCAGGAGGAACCATGACTACTTCTCACACTTGCTGTGTTACTTGCTGTTAGCGATGTCAAGAAGAAACCACTGACCCATCAGTTAGACTTGTTTTACCCTAGTAGGGATGGGCTCATACCAAGCTGTTCACATTCTGCCTGGCTCCCTGTAAGCCTGGTGGTGTATATGGTGTTCATTCATTCATTCATTCATTTGGGCATAGAATGGGTGGCCCTCACTGGCCAGAGAACAAAGTCAGGGAAGGCTTCCCTGGGAGTAAGAGTCCTGAAGGGCAGTAAGGGTTACCTGAGCCATGAGTGAGCCAGGAAGGCACAGGAGAGTGTAGGGAGGGCAAAGGCCTGTGGGGAGAAGCCAAGGTGAGGCAGGAGATTCAGGTCTGTCTTCAGAGCTGAACAACCCCGAAAGTATAGACACATTCAACAAACCCAGCTTACCAGCAAACACAATTATTGTTCAAAACTTAAGTTCAAACGCTGCATGCCAAAGCCATTTGGAAATGATTTCCAGGTTACCCTCCATTCTGGAGCAGTCAACAGGTACCCTTTCTCTTTTGGGGGAAATATGAAATATCAAAGCATAAAGCAACAAAGCACATTATTTGTGTCCCAAAGTAATGGATGTCATTTTCTTTTTCTTTTTTTTTTTTTTTTGAGACAGAGTTTTTTTCTTGCCCAGACTGGAGTGCAATGGCATGATAGCTCACTGCAACCTCTGCCTCCCAGGTTCAAGTGATTCTCCTGTCTCAGCCTCCCTAGTAGCTAGGATTACAGGCACGCACTACCAGACTTGGCTTATTTTGTATTTTTAGTAGAAATGGCATTTCACCATGTTGGCCAGGCTGGTCTAGAACTCCTAACCTCAAGTGATCCTTCCATCTTGGCTTCCCAAAGTGCTGGGACTACAGGCATGAACCACCGCGCCTGGCCATGGATGTTATTTTTAAGTCTGGGAAATAAAAAAATTCTGGACTCTAAAGCTGTAGAAGAACGTATGTCCAGTTAAACTCTTGCCCACCATGCAGCTCACCAGAGACCTCAAATCCTTACCTGGAGGTCAAAGAACTTGCTGTAGCGCCGGTAAATGGCCTCGGTGGAGCCACTGGACCACGTGACCCGGATGATGTAGACCTGCAGGAGCAACAGAGGAGATGGGCGTAAACATCAAGGCAGCCTCCCAATCTCTGGAACCAGGGGGAGCACAAGACTCAGAGTCAGAAAGATGTGGGTTTCAGCCTTAGCTCTGCCAATGACTGGCTGGACAAGCTGCTTGCTATAAGCCTCAACTCCCTCCTCAATAAAATGGGTGTAATAACCCCCAACAGAGTTGTGCAAAGGATGAATGACAGCAAGTATGGGGATGCAATGGCACCAGGAGAAGCTACTGTTTTCAGCACTGCCAGGATTTCTCACTACCCGGTCATTTCAGTGAGACACAGGCTGGCTATCTTGCCAGTCATTCCTAAAACCTTGAGTTTCATCAGGAGATGTCACAAAGATGTGCAGCTCTTGGCCATCTTATATTTTCCACAGGCCAGCCCATCATGCTGTCTCCACCAACGAGGACCTGGGCCAAGTTATTTTTTCCCGAGTCCCAGTTTCTCTTGTGAATGGGGCTAAGAGCACCTGCTTCCTCTGCCTCCCAGGATAGATGTGGGGCACTGATGAAATTAAGGACAAAGGACCATTTTATAAACCATTGGGCTGCACTTCAATCTTTGTCACACATCACAGCACACACAGAAAACAAGACACTGATAACAAATCTGGGCAAACTGAGGTGACTATTAGAGGTCAGAGGTGCCTGGCTGGGTCTTCGGTGGCCCTGACACACCAGGCTGACATCTAGGGGCTAAGGGGTTAGCACACCTATGACCCATTCTTGGACTGCATTAACTATCTGTTGCTGCAGGGTAGTTGTGACAATTGAAATACATGCATATGTGAAAACTGTTTGGAAACAGAAATGTCACAGAAACACAAGACGCTCAGGGCTGTCAGAAGCCCTGGGGTTTGCAGGGAAGGTCCCTGTCCTCCATGAGCTGAGAGTTAGCAGGAGAGACAATGCATACGTAAGTGAAGATGACTGACTCCTAGGATCCTCTTTCCCTACCTTCAGCTCACTCCCTTGGATACAGAGGGGATACATTCTCCGTTCATGGTGATTGGTTGAAGGGAGAAAATGTGACTTGAGCTGGGCCAATCAGAGCTAGTAGGAGTCCGCCCTGGGACTTTTTTTTTTTTGGAGATGGAGTCTTGCTCTGTGGCCCAGGCTGGAGTGCAGTGGGATGATCTCAGCTCACTGCAACCTCCGCCTCCTGGCGGAGAGATTCTCGTGCTTTAGCCTCCCAAGTAGCTAGGATTATAGGTGAGTGCCACCATGCTCAGCTAATTTTTGTATTTTTAGTAGAGACCAGATTTTGCCATGTTGATCAGGCTGGTCTCGAACTCCTGACTTCAGTGATCTGCCTGCCTCAGCCTCCCAAAGTGCTGGGATTACAGGAGTGAGCTACTGCCCCCGGCCTGCCCTGGGACTTTTGCTCCAACTCTCAAGAAAACCAAGCTTTCCCCCTGAGATTGTCAGGCTGTCAGGATGTGGAGCTGCTGGGGGCTACCTCTTCTCACTGAGGGGTGCAGGGGAGCCTGCCTGAGAAAGGAGCCACCATCCCAATGACACAGTCTAAGCTTACATCCAGCTGTGCCTGACGCTAAATTTATTCCTGGACTGTACAGTTTCCTGGGCCAATAATTACATCTTGGGCCACATCCACTCTCTTGAACAACTTTTGCAGCCAGTTCAAGTTGGGTTTCTGACCCACGTAATCCAGTCCAGGTTGATAGAGGAAGGGGGCAGGAGAGAGATTTCTGAAGCCTTCACCACAGTGTACCCTGATGGACATATAGGATTTAAATAGCAGGGGAGGAAGGCAGTGGCTGTGGGTGGAGGGGAATGAGGGTGGAACAAAGACCAGCTCAGGGTGAAGTCACACTATGCCTGGCAGCGGTCTCCACAGTGGTTTTAGCCAGAGTCTCTTTTCAAATGAGTTCCCAGGAGAACACTCACATTCTAAACAGAAAAATATAGAGCAACTTTAGGGGCTGGGGCCAGACACCAGTGTGAACATCAAGGATTTATACGGGAAGATTCTCCAGGTGAGAAGAGATGAAAAATATGAAGATAAATCAGTACAAGATTGGAGGTAACCTTGAATGCCAAGCTAAGGAGCTCATCAGGCATGGCCTCGTCAAACTCAACATGGATTTTATTCCAAAGCATAGCAGACAGGGGGGATCTTTGGCTCTAAAGTCAAGAAGCTCTGGACTCATACAATTTCCTAACTCCTGGAGCCCCAGCTTTCTTATCTGGTAAAATGGGGTCATCAAGCATACAGAGTTGTGATTATCACAAGAGGCAAAACTCTGAGCACCTTGCCAGGGAAAGAGGAAATGTTCACGAAATCTCAGCACCTTGCTCTCAGACCATCCAATGCCTACCCCATCCCTGCTCATAAAAACAGGGTACTTTGACACCAAGGACTTGGGCATCCAGCCCACCCTTCTTCCTTGTTTGTGCTCCCTGTTCCTAGGTAACTGACAGAGCCAGGGAAGAGGGCAAGGCATCCTTTCGGAGTTAAGAGTCAGTTACCATCTCAGAAAGGCGACTTTGTGATGGAAAAAAAATCCTGAACAGTCGTGGTTCATTTAACAAACAGCCTTCACATCTGTTTCTTAGCTTTCCACCCTGCTTCATCAAGACTCCAGCATGGAAATTTTGAATGGTTTCCATTCATTCATTCACTCTCCAACATCTATTAAGCACCTACTGCATGCCAGGCCCTCTGCTAGGTGCTGAGTTACAATGGGGAGCAAGGCAGACTCAGACCCTGCCCTTGTTAAGTGGAAAGACGGGCAATAAACCAGCAAACCTGCAAACGTGCTGGGCGGGACCCCAAAGTCTGCATGAGGGAGGTAGGTGGGGGACTGGCTACTTAGATATGGGGGTCTTGGAAGGGAAGGCCTATCTGGGGAGGCAACCTTTGAACCGAGAACTGTGAAGGGTGAGGAGCTCGTTGAGAGCTGAGGAAAGGGTGTACAGGCAGAAAGAGAAGTGGGAAGGAAGATGCGGTGGCAGAAAAATGCTCGCCTGTGTGGGGAACGGAGACTATGATGGCTGACAGCGCTGCGGGAGGAAGGGGCTGAGTGGGGGAGGAGGCAGCAGCTGATGATGAGGGGTTCGCAGGCCACAGAGAAGTGTATGGATTTTATTCTACTGAAGAGTCTGAAGGGGTGGGGGAGGTGTGCGACAGGATCCAGGGTACGTGTTTAAAAATATCCATGCGTATCCCTCCAGCTGCTGTGTGGAAACGGCTTAAAGAGGGGCAGGGACACCAGTAAGGCACCTTTTGCACCACTGACAGGAAGTTAGAGCTGGAGGGGACCACAGAATGCAGCTCATCAAAGGGCCGCACCTTCCAGATGGGTGAACTAAGGCCCAGAAAGGGAAACTACCATACCAATGGCCCCTGCCACGGGGATGCTTAAGTAAGGTTTGAGTGACTGTCAAGGACACTGCCAACAGCGATTAAAAAAAACAAGGAAAAATTGTAAAAATTGTCAAATAATTGATTTTTTTTCTGAAAACCAACAAAAAGCACACTCCCATAAATGGAAAAAAAATTCTGCTTACACAATTCATTCTTGATCTCTTGTTTACAATTTTTAAAGTTCTGAACATACAGTACAAGGACTCTGCAGCAAGCCTAATTGGTTTATTGGAATCAGCCCCTGAACACAATGTGATGTCTGCATTTTTAGGCAGAGACCTAATTTTTTAATGAGAGATGTCCTAGTGCAGAGCTTTGTCCCTGCCTGGGTTTGGGGGCTGGTGAGAGAGCACGCACCCCGGGTCTCAGAGCCAACTCTGCCACTAGAGAGACTCACAAGGCACTCACCTCTCCGGCCACCCACCCTTCTCTCTAAAACGAGTACAGTAATCTCCCTTTATGGGTAAGCCACAATAGCTAATGGAGATAGGGCCAATGCCTGGCATGCGCTAGAAATGCAAGGTTAGCTTCCCCCATAGCAGTCAGCCCATGTTCTTGCTTGTCCAGTACCTTTCCCCTCCTTTTGGTAACAAAATTCTGATTTCCCATGGAGGATCCCTCCTGTAGTCTTCATATCTCCCTCCCAGGCCCAGCCAACCACAGCCCTGCCAATGAACAATTGATTCAGGATGGGCACATGACTGATGAGACCCCATTCTGGGACTTTTGATGGCATTATCAGGGAAGAGACCCTTTTGCCTGCTCAATGGCTGCTGGGAGAACTCTGCACCAGGAGTTTCCCATGGAAAGCACCTGTCACACAGAAGAAAGCAGTGCCAGAGGGAGAGAGGAGGGCTCAGACCCTGTGGTAGCATTTGAACCCCTGGATCCAGCTGGAATCCGGGACATTTCCCAGATGCAAGCCAAAACAGTCCTCTTCTTGTTCACACCAATCTGAGTTAGTGTCTGTTACTTGCAACCAATGCAATCCTAACACACTAGACCTTTACTTTACTACATCCCCAACCCAGGTAATACATAGCAGCTTGGGGCTAAGGAATTAAAGACTTCCTCTCAGTAGTGCTATTCACAAGAGCCCAAAGATGGAAAGAACCCAAGTGTCCGTTGATGGATGGATGCATAAAGAAAATGTGGTTTATAAATAAAATGGGACATCATTCAGCTCTAAAAAGAAAGAAAATTCTGGCACATGCTACCCTATAAAGAAACCTTGAGGATATTAGGCTATGTGAAATAAACCAGTCACAATAGAACAAATATGGTATGATTACAGAAGACCTGGCGGAGTCAAATTCATAGAGACAGAAAAGAGAAGGTGGTTGTTGGAATGGGGGGATTGGGGAGTTGTTATTTTTCATTTATTTTTGAGATGAGCTCTGTGATCATAGCTCACTGCAACCTCAAACTCCTGGACTCAAGTGATCCTCCCACCTCAGCCTCCCAAGTAGCTGGGACTACAGGCACGTGCCATCATGCCTGCTTAATTTCATTATTATTTTTTGTAGAGACAGGGTCTCGCTTTGTTGCCTAGGCTGGTATTGAACTCCTGGCTCAAGTGATCTTCCT